GCTTATGCCTGACCCTGGGTTTCATCTCATGGGCCCTGATTCCTCCTTGATTGGCATTTGGCACCTGTTGCTTATCTTGGACTTTTGGGAAGTGGCTTAGAGGCTGTGGTACACATCGTCTTTGGAGTTTATTAAAAAATTGCTAGTCCCTGTGAAATGGTTTGTTTCACTTCAACACACATTTGCCGAGATTCTTCTCAGTGCCAGGCCCCAGGCTTCAGCCGTGAAAGACGTCCCCACCCAGCAGATGTCCCTGATGACAAGAGGGAATTGAGGATGAGTCACGGTCCCAGGGGCCTAGCCTGAGGCAGAGTGGGGTGAGGATGCATCAAGGATGCCTTCTTGCAGGAGTTGGTATCCTTATTGGGATGAATAGTGCCTCTCCCAAATCCATGTCTACCCAGAACATCAGAATGTGTCCATAATTACAAACAAGTCTTTGCAGATATGATAAGGTAAGGATCAAGACGAGATCCTACTGGTCAAGGATGGGCACTAAATCCAATCAGAGATAGAAGAGAGGGCCATGTGATGATGGAGGTAAAAACCAGAGTGATGCAGTCGTAAGTCAAGGATGGCAATGTTTTCAGGAGCCACCAGGAGCTGGAAGACACAGGGAAGGACCCTCCCTTAGAGCCTTCAGAGGGAGCACAGCCCTGCCGACACCCTGATGCTGGACTTACAGCCTCCAGAATGGTGAGAGAATACATTTCTGTTTCTTTAAGCCACCAAATCTGTGGTAGTTGGTTATGGCTGTGCACTTTGGGCTCATCTTGAATAGGGTTCCAGGGAAAATAGCAAGGTAATCATCTTCCTGTCACATCTCATACTCTAAGATCTACTTTTCATTGTTTTCAGATAGATCCACAATAACCCCTTTGAAAGGTTAGACACCATCTGTTCCTACCTGATTTAAACCCGATGGTGTCAGGGAAGGCCTGTTTTCACCGAGAGCAGGCCAGATACTCCAATGGTGTGTAGGACCCATTTACATATGCATCCACTGATTCATTCCACAAATATGTCAGCATTGTCTGTGTGCCAGGTACTGATTGAACTTGGTCTAGTGGTTCATAGGGAACCAAGCTCTTAACATTGCCCCCTGAAGAGCTCCCCTTCAGTTTCATTCAACACGTCTCTATGATGGTGCTACAATGTGGAGGAGCTGGAATAAAGGGAGGGAGGAGACAATGGTTGGAGAAGGCTCCATAGAGGAAACAAAGACCAGGGGAGGCAGGGAAAGGCATCATAGCAGAGGGAATAGCATATGCAAAGGCACAGAGGCATGGACATGCAAAGCATGTTGGAGTGAGGCCCGGGGTGTCAGACATCCTAAGGACAATGTGTTGGAATAAAACCTGTCACAGTCCTGTCCTCTGGGGCGTTACAGTTTTTTTTGTTTTGTTTTGTTTTTACAGGTGGCAAAAGTAAATTTACCTGATTGGGGATTTTTGGTTTTAAAGACTTGGATCCTGGGGACTTTCTGTTGTTCACCAGAGAGAGTGGATGCAGAAGAGGCAGGGTCACAGCACAGAGGCCACCTGGAGGGGACACCAGAGGTTCCAGGTCAGGGGGTTCACCTTCAGAGCCACCACTGCTCATGGGGAGAGCGTCAGGAAGGGTCTGAACGGGGTGGGGCCAGCATGCTAGCAACTCCCCCTGCTGGGGCCATGCTGCCCTGCCAGAGGACAGCCACATCTCGGTCAGGGAATGGCCTGCTGGCGGGACTTCTCCCAGGATGCCTGCTGGGAGTCAGGTCTGGGCTGGGCGAGGTTTCCGGGGCCCCACCTCCCACTCTCCATGCTGCAGCTCCTTCCATCTGTCACTACTGCTCTGTCAGGCTCCTGTCCTCTTCACGGTTTGTGTTGGGACGGGGTATTTGATATTTTCATTAGTGATTTTTCTTGCTTAGACCTCGCTCTGCTTCATCTCCCCTTCCCTTGCTGCCTGTTGAAATGATTCATCAGGAGAGCTGACATTTTTTAACTTAAAATGTTTTAGTTTAACTGCTGCCGGCTAAATATATTTTGACCTCAGCTCTGTACCATGGCTCTCTGCTCAGCTGGGGAGACCAAGGAAGCCTGGTGCCAAAAGCTTCTCTCTCTTTTTGGACTGGATCCTCCTCAGCAGATCGGAAAGGATGCTGTGTGTTCCAAGGGTTGTTTTGCAACCAGTGCAGATAGGGGCGTGGCCAGTGGCGTGCCCCGCTGTGTGACCGTACCTGCCACAGAGATGTCTTATCGGATTCACGAAGCTGGCCGCCACGTGTCCAAATGTGTCTGGCCCTGGCGCCATCTTTCTTTAGAGAACCCAGTGGGCAATTTACATAGTTGTTCTCTGCCCAGGGGGACTTGGATGAGCTCTGAGTAGCCACTAAGGCTGGCAGCTTATTAAGTACTGGACGGAGACCGAGGAGTCAGGGCGTTAGCAAGTCTCTGACAGAAGAACTTAGGGAGATACCAGAGGAGTTTAATGACAGCAAGAGTCACACTTTTAAAAAACATATGTTTAAAAACATATGTTTTTATTGATTTCGGAGAGGAAGGGAGAGGGGAGAGAGATACATGGATCTACTGCCTCCTGCATACCTCCTACTGGGGATCGAGTGTGCAACCTGAGCATGTGCCCTGACTAGGAATTGAAACATCAACCTTTTGGTTCATGGGTCGACTCTCAACCACTGAGGCACACCTGCCAGGCAAGAGTCCCACTTTTTTAAATGTATTTTTAAAATTGATTTCAGAGAGGAAGGGAGAGGGAGAGAGAAACATTGATGAGAGAGAAATATTGATCAGCTGCCTCCTGCACTCCCAACACTGGGAATCGAGCCTGAAACTTGGACATACGCCCTGACTGGGAGTTGAATTGCCACCTCCTGGTTCATAGGTTGATGCTCAATATTTAAGCTACACCACTGGGCAAGAGTCCCGCTTTTAATGGGGGGCAAATAGGATCCTGTTTAGACAAAGCTCTTTTTATCCTCCAGGCTTGAGCAAGGCAGGCCACGCCACTTAGTCCCCCACCCAGACTCATCAAACTCAATTCAGTATGGTAAAGAGAGAGAAAAGAGAGGACAGGATCAAATCTGAGTAGAGGATCTGGGCTGCTTCAACTGGTGCCTACATACATGACTCTGTAGATCCAGCCTCGATATTCATTGACTAATTATTAATCCATTCACCATATATTTATTGAAAATCTATATGTATGTGGCTAATACTGAGACTAATCCTGGGAATGCAGAGAAAAGGGTAGATGTAAGTGTCTAGACTCTAGAGGGAAAGACAGTAATTATAAATAGGGTAAGAGTCTCAAAGATAAAAATACAAAAAGTAGCCCTAGCTGCTTTGGCTCAGTGAATAGAGTGTCCCGGGTTCAATTCCAGTCAAGGGCATGCTCTTTGGTTGCAGGCTCCTCCCTAGCCAGGGCCCTGGTTGTGATTCATGCAGGAGGAAACCAATTGATGTGTTTCTTTCACAATGATGTTTCTCTCTGTCTTCCCCTCTCTCTTCCACTTTCCCTAAAAATCAATGGAAAAATATCCTTGGGTGAGGATTAAAAAACAAAAAAATACAGCAAGTTTGGGGACAATGGGAACATTTAATGGGAGAGCTGACCCAGGTTGAGGTGCATAGAGCGGGGGAGAGGGTACATGAAAGACCTCCTTGATGCAGTGACTTTTAATCTGGTGTGTAAGGTATAATGGAAATTGGGTCAGGTGAAGCAGTGAGAGAGGTGAATATTAGGCAGGGGCAATTGCACGTAAAAGGCCCCCAGACAAGACAGAGGAGGGGGAAATAATAAAGATCTCTTGAGCAAGGGGTGAGGGGAGGCTTCTGTCACACATGAAGTCCAGAGCATGGATCTATGGTGCCAGGATCAGGGCAGCAAGACTCATCCAGATGCTTCCATAGTGGGGAGAGGACTTTGCGTACACTGCTGGACTGGGACAGGGCTGGCTTGGATGGGGATGGGACCAGCTTATGAAGGTCTGCAGTGCCCGCAGATGAAGTGGTTTTGACTGCACCTTATAATGACCTAGGATGCTTTTCAAAACTACCGAGCTCTGGGCCTCGCCTCTGAGAATTCCCACCTGTCTCTCTCCAATGGGGATGGGTCCCATGTTCAACCATCTTCCCAGGTGATTGCAATGTGCCTCCAGCTTCAGTTTATTCCTGCGCTTGGGACTGGGCCCAGCGTGGGAGGCACTTGGAGATAGAGAAGGCCACAGGGGAAGTCAGCCCCAGCACTGGGAGGGCAGTAATTGCTGTAATCTCTGAAGGAATTCGTTGGCTTTCCTCAGAAAAGCAATTCTCATAACATTTACCAAAATGAAAATCCTGATTAATTCTGCAGGTTTATAGCTCCCCAGAGGCTGGGGAAAAAACATCTCTTGGCAAGAGAAGCAAACTTTATTCTGGCAGCATAGACAATGCTGCAAACACTAGACATGGAGCTGCACATACTTTCTGGAATTCCAATGCGCCGCATCCCTGGTCTCAGAGACACTCAGCCATGGCCACTGCTCATGCTGCCTCCTGGACCAACGGCTTCCGGCCCCCCCCCCCCCCCCCCCCGCTCCCATTCTCCATGGTGTTCTGGGCAGATGTGGCTTTTGTCAGCCCAGTGTGTCTTCCTTTGGGGAACCACTTCTATGCCATTAAGTGCCATTTAGATAGGTTGTCAACAATCATTAACCCCACCTCTGCCTGTAGGGACGCCCTCCAGGACTAGCCAGTGATGGTAGTATGATCCCTGGAGATAGTGATTGGCTCAAGAGGTTGTATGGAATTCAGAAAGGGCCAAACAGCATTGTTTATTTCTTTTTAGGGTTAATATATGGATAGTGGTAAAGTTTCTCCTGAAGATGCTAAGCTAGAGAATGTGAGTCTGGATTTGTCCTCACAAGGTGTGGAGAACAAAGCCAGGCAGAGAGAGAGAGAGAGAGAGAGAGAGAGAGAGAGAGAGAGAGAGAGAGAGAGAGAGAGAGAGAAATTTTGCCAACAGTAGGCCTGATTCCAGGCCTCCAGACTCTTGAACTTTGAGTCTTGTGAGCTCTCGCTGCATCTCTTTAGGGTTAAGCTTTTTGGAGTTGGGTTCTGTCTCTTGCAACAAAAGCATCTGGACTAACACAGCCGATATTTTGGTTTCTGATGGACCTCAGGAGAAGGTGGAGGTGTGGGGAATGCACTGGAGAGTGAGGCAGGCGTGGTCAAAGAGTTTGTGAGGCAGCTGTCCCTGGGATGTCCAGGTGTCTGTCTCGGGGTCGTAGCAGTCAAAGGAGGCCGAGTCCTCGATGTTGCAGTCCGTGGTCAGCCGCCGGCCCCCTGTCACGTAGAGCTTGCTCCCCATCACTGCGGCCCCGTGGTGCATCCTCCGGTCTTTCATGTCCGCACATTTGACAAATTTGTTGGACTGAGGGTCATAAGCTAGAATCCTCCTTGTGTAACCTGAAAGCCAAGTGGTATATCAGCAAGGTCAGCATTGCTCATTTGGGAGCAGAGGTCAGTGGTCTGGGAATGTGTCTGATCTCTGCCCTCCCCTGACACTGAGGCTGGAATCTGAACCACAGCATGGGATGTTTCGATAACCTGCCCAAGGTTTAGTGTGCAGCAGGGATGGGGTTTGGCCCCTGCATCCCTAACCCCAAGTTAGGGCGGCACATAGCCCGTTTTCATTGGGGAGCAGCCTCCTGGTTCCAGGGACTTTCTCAGTCTCACTGGCTTCTTCCTCCCTCTCACATGCTCTCTCCAGAGCTACAACAATCCAAAGAAGGAAGCTTTGGGAACTCATGGGTCCCCACAACAACCTTATCAGGTGGGCCCTTTGAGGATCTCCATTTTTACAGACGAGCAAACTAAGGCACAATCTGCACTAATAGAAGAGAAATATGCAAATTGACCATACCTCCACAATGCCCACCAGCCAATCAGGAGTGAGCATGCAAATTAACCCAACAAAGCTGGCAGGTTAATTTGCTTACACAGACACAGAGTGGTGGGGCAGAATGCCTGCTATGAGGGGAAGGACAGGGGCGGAGGGAGCTACAGGAGCAGCACTCTGGCCAGAGAAGACTAAAGGCTCAGGCCGGAGTAAAGATTCCAGCCATAGCAAAGATGGAAGGCAGCAGCCAGAGCGAAGGCCTGGGTCCCAGGCCTGAAGGAAAACTGGTGCTGGCAGTCAGGGGAAGGAAGACCTTTTACACAAATCTTCATGCAACAGGCCTCTAGTAGAGTAATAACTTGCCAAAGAGTATACAGTCAGGGAGTGTCAGAGACAGGATGTGAACCCAGATCTGCCCCATCCCCAAACCAGTCCTCTTAGCCATGACACTATACTGTGATTACAGAGGAATGATCCATTAGTAGCTAATATTAACAAGAGCAAACGTGTTTTGAGTATTTGCCACGTGTCTGGGAACATGCCATGTGCTTTCAATACATGAGTATGTTTTATTATCACAACAACTCTGTGAAATAAGGCATTATTTCATTCCTGTTTATAGAAAATGACAGGGAGAAACTTCTGGAGGGGAAAGGAACGTTGTCAAGTTGTCCACACTCCCTCAGCTAGAGGGATGTGATTTTACAAAGACAGTCTTGTAGAAGAACGTCCGTCTATTAGTGACCCTTTTTCCATGGGAGATGCCAAGTTGTACCCAGCCTGGCGATTCTCTGCTCAGACTCACCTCCCACGATGACAATCCGCTCCCCAAGCACCACTGCAGGGGCACACACATTCTTGATCATTCTCGTCTCCATTTTGAACCATGTATTTCTGGAAATGTGATAAACCTGAGGGGGAAATAGAATCATGGCTCTGTATTTTAAAGTGATATTTTTAAAGACAGAAGTAGTAATTAAGCCCCAGGAGTTGTGGCTCAGTTGGTTGAGCATCTTCCCATGCACCAAGAAGTTTAGTTCCCTGTCAGGGCACAGGCCTGGGTGTGGGCTCAGTCCCTAATGGGGTGTGTGTAGGAGGCAACTGAGCAATGATTGATGTTTCTCTCTCTCATCAGTGTTTCTCTCTCCCTCTCCTTTCCTCTCTCTCTTAAAACCAATAAGAACATATTTAACAAAACATGGTCCTCTTTATTTTTTAATTTTTAAAAATACATTTTATTGATTTTTTACAGAGAGGAAGAGAGAGGGATAGAGAGAGAGGTGAAACATCGATGAGAGAGAATCATCGATCAGCTGCCTCTTGCTTGCACGCCCTCCACTGGAGATCTGCCCGCAACCAAGGTACATGCCCCCCTTGACCGGAATCGAACCCGGGACCTTTCAGTCTACAAGCTGATGCTCTATCCACTGAGCCAAACCGGTTTCAGTAACATGGTCCTCTTTAAAAAGTAGTAATAAAAGGGTGAAACAGGAGTGATTTTTTTCACCTTTTCCCAACTTTTAGAATATAGGTATATTACTATCAATAAAAATATAATTAAATAACAGAAAGAAGAATATTATTAGAAATTGGTCTTCATGTGACCCTCCCTGAGATCGGAGGCTGTGTTTCTATAGAGTGGACCAAGAGGTATGCATTGTAACATGTGTTTGCTTACTTTGCTTGGAACAATTTTTTCTTTTAATGAGAAATGGAGCAACTTGGATAGTCATGAAACCAGTGCTTTTTCAGTTACTTTCATTTCTAGCTCATGTTTAAATGTCTGATTGTTCCAGTGTATCTGAGAGGCTCTTAGAGCCAGGAGCAAGTCTGGGGCTAAGTGAGGAAGGCTCTTGGGCAGTTCATGCTTGAGAGTCATCAGAACCATAGACAACATGAAGCACGAGGAAAGGCAAAAAGAGCACAGAGATGGGCTGCACTCTGAAACAGAGCAAATCAGGATCCTCAGACTTGTCTTCCTGGCAATGTTCTCATTTTCAAGTTCAAATATCAAGTGTAAATTAGTTTATTACTGGCAGAATTTAGCACAAGAGAGATAGGATGGGCTTCATATAAGAAAAAAGGAGCAAAAGTATTCATTTATAGAGGAAAATGGGCCAGTATTATTCACTGGAAATTCTTCCTGTGTGAAATATAATTGCCATCATATTAAGGCCTTATTATTTTTTGAAAATCAGTTTACCAAATTTTATCATCACAACCATCCAATGAAGTAAGTGGCATTACTTACCCCCATTTTTCAGATTAGACATTGAGGTTCAGAGAGGTTAAGTGACATTCCCAAAGTCACACAGCTAGAGTGAGAAGAAGAGCTGGCCTGGTTGAGTCCAGAGTCCATGTCCTTCACCTCCACATTCATGGTGGTATCTGATGTACCTTTGTATATATGAATCTTACACAAAATAATTCATAAGTGGATAAAATCTTATTAAAATTAAACTTCCTTCCTCACTCTCTTTCTTCCTTCTTTTCTTTCTCCCCTGTCCATCCCCTGCAGATGACAAGTGTGTGTGTGTGTTTGTGTGCGTGCATGTGAGGAGGGGGGTACACACTCATGCACTTACATGAGGAGAAGGACCAGCCATTTACCTGGATAAGGCGCACAGGGTTCTGCATGATGTCCTCTCCCCCGAAAAGGTAGAGTCTTTGGTCTTTCACAGCGACTGCAGGGTGCAGAACCCCCACTGGCATGCTGGCCACGTTCTCCCAGGCGTTGCAGATGCTGTCATATCTCTCCATGGATCCCAAGACCTCCTGCCCCTCCCCAATCCCCCCGATAGAGAAGATGAAGTTCCTATGGGAGGTGCTTCTGTGGGAGTAGCGAGCCGCCAGCATGGGCTGCCCCAGCCTCCACTGATTGAGTTTCAGGGAGAAGATGTAGACATGGCGACTGGGCTCACTCTTCTCTGTGCCCACGGCCATGCCTCCCAGCACGTAGACGCTGCGGTGCAAGGCAACGGCTGCGGCCTTGTAGAGCCGGGTGGGCAGTTTGGCGAGGCTCCGCCATTGGCCTGTCTGCCTGTGGTACAGCAGAACGTCCCTGGTGGTCTGCTGGTTGTCCTTCCTGCCACCCAAGAGGATGAGGAAGTCTTGGTAAGAGTTCCTTGGGGGCACGTGCCATGGAGGTTGGAGGTCTGGGACACTGGCGGTGCCGTACAAAGAAAACATCTGCCTCCTGGCCATCTCCAAGACGATCTGGCACGCGGGCGAGGACTGGAGGAGGGCATCGTTGGCGATGAAGTGGTGGAAGAAGGCTGGATGGATGTACGGAAGCCTGACGAGCTTGAACAGTTCCTGCATGTATCGCTTCCGGGTCTGGAGGTCATGCCTGACCCAACCCATGAAGGCCTCAAACACCTTTTCCTCCTCCCCACACAGCCCATCATCCCCCAGGTAGTCTCTCAGTTCCAAGGCGCAGAGCTCCTTCAGGTCAGCAGATGCAGCCACCTCTGGGAAGTACGCCAGGGCCACCTCCCTGGCTGACTTCTTGAGGGTCTCGCAGCTGAGGATCTCCGAGAGTCTGATCATGCCCAGGCAGTTGCTGGGGGTCAGCTGGCTCTGCAGGTAGGAGGAGCAGGCCTCAAAGAGCTTGGGATACTGCAGCATGGAGGCAGCCTCCATCAGGGGCAGAACGTTCTCAGCCGTGATGGGCACCTCCCCTGTGTACACATACAGGACGAGCTGCTCCAGGGTCGAGGAGTCAATGCCTCTCAGCTGGACCCTGGCCTCCACGCTCTCCCGGAAGTTGCTGCAGAACATGGCCCGGAAGTAGGGGCTGCTGGAGGCCAGCACGTTTCGGTGGCAGGGGACCTCCCAGGCCCCAGCACAGATGATTACATCAGTCAGGGTTCTGCTTTGTCTTAAGCCATTGAGCTGCCTCAACAAGTCAGAGGAGAAGTCATGGTCCTTGAAGAGCAGCCCATCTGCTGAGTCTTTGTCCATCCTGCAAAGACAGGGAGGAGTCCCAAGAGGGAGCACGTGCTGGAGGGTTTAGCCGTGGCGGCGCGGAGACTTAGAGCATCTGTGCCCACTCACCAGTGTGTGTGGGTATCGCCAGGAATATCGCTTAGTGAAGATTGCAGAGGGAGGCCACCCACACTCCAGACCTCCCAGCAGACACCTCCCTTTTTGGTTATGATTGTTCTGAAAGGGAACAGGCAAATAACATCTTTAGATAATCTGAGGAAAAGCAAGCAAACCAAAACAAGGAAGGCTGTAGGACGTTACTGATTGCCAGGGGCTGGAATGTTAGCCGGAAGCAAAATAACAGCCCGTGCACTTGACCAGTGGAAGTCTGTGAGCCTTTCTCCAGATTCTCGGCCTTCTGTTATTTAGTGAACTCATCTTGCCATCTTTCTGGGGGTTAGTCATTCCCTGAGGTTCTCATTCTGGGGGGTGTGGCCCTCTGGTAACCAGACAGAAACGAGGGATGAAAAGGGACCTTTGCAATACATGTATTGAAACATGACTCCACACATTCGTTAGGATTTTGTTTTAAAGATGGGATAAGTAGAAAGCAGAGCCCCAATAGCACCCTCTTATTGCTCACCGCCTGGCAGGCACTGGGGAAGAGTGAAGTGGTAGAGACATGTACCTTGCTTGGCTGCAGGGAGAGCCCCCGGTGCCTGGTCCGACTGGTCCCGCCGGAGTTTCCACCTCTGGCTCCAAGTGAAACCATAAACCCGGGCCTTTCCTTCAGTTGACAAGTGATTGGTCCTGGGAGAGTTCTGGACTTGTTTATGCTACAGGCGCTTTCACAGTTTTCTAGAGCTTTGCGACAGAACTGTGGGCAGGGAGACGGTGTATACATTCCAGGGCTAAGAATAGCTGCATATGTATTTTCCACTGTGAGGACATGTGACTTTCCAGTTGCCGTTTGCAGCAACCCCGGGGCCAGGAGGGCCGCGCATGCCCACACGCCTTGTTTCCTTGGCAAGTGTTTACATCAGCATAAATAGGTCCGAAGGGACCACTTCTCTCAGAGAAGACTTTGCAGCCTGCTTGGAAGCACCCTGAGTCCCTTGTCCTAAAAGTGCCTGGGAACTCTAGATGTCTGTAAATAGGTTGCCGGGGCCTGGCGTGGTTCCTGATGATGGCTCTGGGCACGTGGAAGGGGGTGGATGGTCACAGGGAAGCCAGAATGTGGGCCGGGGTGCTGCTGGTTTGGTTTCTCTTGCCACCACCGGCATGGCAGGATCATTGGCGAAGGCTGTGATTGCCTCCTCTGGGCTCTGAGAGGATGGGATCCAGGACACAAGCTGTTTTGCGTACGTGATTTGTGTGAAGCATCCCAGGGGTTCCAGCTCTGGGAGACCAAACCTTTGCTGGTCCTCCTGACCCCAGAGGCTTCTGTCTGAGAGTGGTGAGGGCGGCGGTGCTCTGCTGCATCGTGCTGCCTCTCCCAGACGCCAGCGGGTGGCTCTTCGTTATTCTTTTTATAGGTCTGGCTGCTTTTCTGTTTTACTTTTCTTTTTTTTCTCATTTTAGAAAGGCTTGTGCTAGAGGCAGGAGGCAAGGTTTATTGCTCCAGGCTGTTCCAGACTGAGAGAGAAAGAGGGGGTGGGGGGAGAGAGAGATGAAGGTGGGAGAGGGAGAAGCAGCAGCAGAGGGAGATGGGGATGGGTGGGAGGGAGAGAGAGAGAAAGAGGAGAGAGAGAGAGAGAGAGAGAGAGAGAGAGAGAGAGAGAGAGAGAGAGAGAGAGAGAGAGAGAGAGAGAGAGAAGGAGAAAGAGGAGGAGGAGGGAGAGAGGGAGAAAGGGAGGAAGGGAGGGAAGGAAGGAGAGGGGTAAGGAGAAGAAGGGAAGCAGGAAGAGGAGTGTTAGTCATCAAATGTAAGAATCAGAACCAGGACAGAAGGTGATAGAACCACCAGGATGAGTAAAAAGGACCTAGGTCTCTCCTGCCCCCATGTCTAGAGAGTTCTTGATTGGGGATACCAGCAGTGAGTGGCAGGGAAGCTGGTCTTTCTGTCCTTGTTGGTCTTGCTTGGACTATTGAAACATCCTCCCAAGCCAAATTTTCCCTTTGTTCCAAGTTTCTCTCCTTCCAATACACCCACCTGTCCCCACCAGTGCAACCCTGGAGAAGGCAAATCAGAAACTGCCAGTCCCCTACGTCAGGCCCTTCAATGACTCCTGTGTTTGCAGGATGCAGTTCAGACTGTTTAGCAGGAAACAGATTGGTCTCCTAATACTTCCTGCTTAAATTTTTTATGCTAGCTCCATCAGACAACTTGCAGATTCTTGTATGTGTCTGGCCGGTCCTGGTTGGGAAGGCTGGACTGACCTGGCCTGTAGGACACCCCAGGGCAGGACGGAAGGAGTGTCTGTCATTCATAGTTGCATGGATCAGCCCCAAAGAGTCCGTCCAGAAGGTCAATGACTGTCAAGTATATTAACAAGTCATTGGGGCCAGGGGCCTCAGGGCCAGAATTAGGAGCAGAAGACCTGAGCCATGGGGTCAGAGACCTATGGAGATATAACCATTAATTAGAATCCCTTGAGGAAATGGGGCAAGGAGCTGAATGTCCTTATTTATTTTAGGTTCCCATACATTCAGACCCCAGACTCCCAAAGAATCACATAAAGTTAAGACAAAAGACTTCCGCAGTTTCTCTCCTGGCTGACTGTGCTGGGCCTGGATTCCCATGGAAGGGCAGGCTGGTTCAGGTCAGCGGCAGGTGTGACAGCTGCAGGCAAGGAAGCCACCAACATGCTCCACCATGCATGTCCAGGTCCAGTCCTCCTATCGCCATCGGGACAACTTTCACACTGACCAGCGAACCATGGCAATCGGTTCCAGGGAGCTGTGTTTCAAGAACGTGCAGGTCTGCACGTAGAGGGCTGAGAGCCCCTTGAACGCTGGAAGGCTGTTCCTTGTTGTCTTGTGAGTACCTCCCATTCCCATAGTCAGTAGGTGAAGGAGAAAAATGGGGAGCAGACAAATAAGGCCTCAGTGGACTGGATCATTAAAAGCTATAGGAAGGGACTTGCCTCTTGCTATGTACGTGAGTTCCTGCCTTCCGGTGTCTGTATCTGTGTGGCTGGGTGTGTTTTTTGACCAGCTTACACAAAGCTGAGCAAGGACTTTGTACTTCAGACAAGGGCCGAAAGGTGGCCTACTCCTTGATTCTGGTGTTGCCATGACGACCATGCTCTGAGACCTAAAAGCCTCACCCTGCATTCAGTAGGCCAGTATTGCAAATGATAGCACCATGTCTTCATATTTTTCCCCCTAGGGAGGGTAAGGGGAATACAGGCGAACAGAGATAGCAACGGGACTGTCAGTGGGTTGTTGGTATACAACCTGCTGTCAGGCCCCCTTCCTCCCTGAGAACTACATCCTGACCCGATACAGATTAGCTTTCTGGGCTCTAAGTCATCTTGGGAAGAAAAAATAATAATACGATCAAAGATGCATTCTTGCTCTCTCATTTTAACACTGTAGGTCACCAAGAATGATACACGGCTTGGCCTCCCTGGTCCCCAGTAGGTGCTCCTGATGGTGAGGTAGGCCTTTAGGCAGGAATTTCCTCCTTCCAGGTCACTGAGGCATGACTTGGCAATTTTATGCTGGAGTATAGAAGGTGGATGACCTACAGAGAGATGTCTGTTGAGAGGGTGAATTTTACTCCTAGATGTAGCATTAATTAGAATCCCTTGGGGAAATGTGAATTGAGCAAGGTAAGGGTCTAATTAACTAAGGCTCCATCCATCCGTCCATCCATCCATCCATTCACCCACTTATCCGTCCATCCATCCATCCATCCATCCATCCATCCATCCATCCATTGAATAACACAAGGCCCTTTGCCCTTGTGGTACTTACCATAAGGGAAGTAGGGAAATAGACAAATGATTTAAGTGACCTAAATGTTATGAAGGGATGCCTTTCTCAATCTCCGTCATTCCCTTCTCACCCCTGTCCCTCCATGAATTCTAAGTCCTCTAGAAAGAGAACCTTATACATGCATCTTTGGAAAGCTCTCCTATCAGGCTGAGTTTTAGTCATGTGTTTTCGTCTCTCTCTCCTGTATTGCAGCTCCTTGAGGGGGGCAGGAATAAGTCTATACTCCTGCCCTATGTTAGGAAAGGCACAGAGTGGAATTTGTTGACAGATTGACACTGGCCACTATTTGCTTACTTTGCCTTTTCCAAAATTTATATATTTTTGCTAGTGGCTTTGTTTTAAGCTTTTCTGACACCTTTTTAATTTATGTTTTCCAAATGATCAAAAATAAAAGTTAAATATTTTTCGACTTCCTGACAGGTAAGAAGCAGAATCTGAAATATTTTTTACTTCTTTCTCCCTGGTTTTTGTAAAGATAACTCGGAATTTAGGCTCAGTTTGTTGTCATTAAATTATTTTATATACTGTATCTTATCTTTTTTTAAGAATGACTTTTTGCTTTTGCTATTTGCATCATATTTACAACTGTTATTTAAACTTAGCTCCCTACTCTGCTGATTTATATTTTCACAGCCAGTTCTGTTATGCCACCCTTTCTCTTTCTTACGTGCTTAACTCTGACCCATCTTTTTTTTTTTTTTTTTTTTTTTTTTTTTTTAATATATTTTATTGATATTTTACAGGGAGGAGAAAGGGAGAGAGATAGAGAGCCAGAAACGTCGATGAGAGAGAAACATCGACCAGCTGCCTCTTGCACACCCCCTACCGGGGATATGCCCACAACCAATGTACATGCCCTTGACCAGAATTGAACCCAGGACCTTTCAGTCCGCAGACCGACGCTCTACCACTGAGCCAAACCGGTTTCGGCTCTGACCCATCTTTTGATTAACTGGAGTTCCTTCACTCATAATATTTTGTTAGGAAGAATAGGGGAAAGGTGCATTTTTCTGAATCCTTCCTTATCCAAGATTCTCTTTTTTTCCCCTACCATCTACAAACAACAGCGTGGCTAGGTACAATAGTTTAGGGATCAAATTATTTTTTATTATAAACTTCCAATTATAAATAAGTCAAGGGCATGTGATGTACAGAATGGTGACTATAGTTAATAATACTGAATTGTATATTTGAAAGTTGCTAAAGGAGCAGATCCTAAAAGTTCTCATCACCAAAGAAAATGTTACAACTGTAGGGTGATAGATGCTAACTAGGCTTATTGTGGCGACTCCTTAGCAATATATACAACTATCAAATCATATATACAACTATCAAATCATATATACAACTATCAAATCATATATACAACTATCAAATCATATATACAACTATCAAATCATATATACAACTATCAAATCATATATACAACTATCAAATCATGTTTTATATCTAAAACTTACATACAGTAATATGTCAATTATGTCTTAGTTAAGGTAATAAATACATTTTTTTCTTTAAAATTTTCTGAAAATCACCCACATTATTCTGGAAAAACTGCAGTGCTACAGAGAAGTTTAAGAATTGACTGATTTACATCTTTTTAATTCTTAAAATTATTTTTTCTTTTTAAAAATGTATTTTTAGCCAGAATCAGTTTTGCTCAGTGGGTAGAGCGTCAGTCTGTGGACTGGGGTGTGTGTGTGTGTGTGTGTGTGTGTGTGTGTGGGAGTAGGTTTGATTCCGGTCAGGGGCATGTGCATTGGTTGCAGGCACATCCCCGGTGGGGGGTGTGCAGGAGACAGCTGGTCGATGTTTCTCTCTCATCAATGTTTCTAACTCTCTATCCCTCTCCCTTCCTCTCTGTGAAAAAAATCAATAAAATATATTAAAAATATATTTTTTATTGATTTCAGAGAGGGGGAGAGAGAGAGAGAAACATCATTGACCCAAACCAGCTGAGGCAAAATTATTTTTTCCATTAATTAAAAAACATTGCCAGGATATGTCCAGGTATCTGTTCTTTTTAAAAAATTAAAATTTGCCTGTAAAACATAGCTATTGATTTGTTAACTTTGACCTTTACTCAGCCTAAGAAAATTTTCTTCAATTATATCTTTGATTATTACCTTAATTGTAGTTCTCTCTATATATATTTAATTTGGCCTCCTCTTCTAAA